GCCTTGTACAAGAACGTTGTGGTTCATCCCCTGTGCATACTTCACAGGGAGAAGAAAACTCATTTACAAACCATCTGTGCCTAAGTGATTTTAACTGTGCCTTGCACTCGCATAGACTAAACTTCACATGCTGTTAAATTACCACTTGTGTTCATAACGTGTCTCCCTTACCTACCTTTTGGAAGTACTGCTAAGAGATTAGCATCAATGTCCTTTGTGCTGTTTGCAAGTTCTTCTTTATCTTCAAATGAGAACTCCTTCTGAAAACTGAAAGCAACATCTGGTTTACAGAACTGTGGATGTTTCTGCTACAAATCAAGTAAAGCCAAGATGTAACCAATTTACTTCAAGATAGTCTAACAGAGATACCAAAGAAAATATTTTCCATAAGAACGAAATAAGAAATAACCCCAAGAAACTCACAAAGCCAAACCTAACATAATTTGAAACTTGTTTGGAACTGACTGTGACACATTTTTGCATTAAATTACTGACCAGAGACTGCCTTCAAAATGTTCTACTAGCACTTACATTTGAAATAATCTATATCAAATGATTCTCCATAAATATTAAAAATACTTTATCAAATGCAGTACTGTACGTACACTCCACCTAAAAGCCTTCTGCACGACTGCCCTCCTGTTGTTACTGCACTGATCTCTGGATCCTATATGGCTTATAATACACCAATATGGGCAGCAGATCATTTAGTTTTACACCTTGTCTTTTCAAAACAGCAAAAATGGCCATTTATATGAGCCATTAATATTATGTCTTTAATATTAACATATCAATATGTTCATTAAATATACAAATATTAACTGTAAAATGTAGGTGTCATAATGGTCTAAAGTAGATACTAACTGTCTACAGAGACCTTCTGGAGGAAGTGTTCCTCCTTGTGGGTAAACAGAGTGAGATTTTTCTCTCCAATTATTAAAAATAGAGAGAGAACTGCTGTATTCTGACATTATGACTTCTAAAATATCTCAGCGAGGCATAAGAAAACTTACACACTAGTCTTAAAACCTTTAGTAAACTGTGTAGACAGGTGTAACAGATACAAATCCCCAAGTGATTCTAGGCTCTTCATTATACCGTGGTATGATGTGCCATACAATTTGTTGTCATTCTGATAAGACAAATCACATAGCCTTACTGTTGGAAAATCCTTCCATAGGACAGTTTCTAAATTACTTTTTAAAGAACTGAATACCCTTTCATCAAGGGTATTTGGTTAGAAAAGAAAAAATAGTAAAAAAAAAAAATAAAAAATCTGTACTGACTATTCCAGAAGAATATTTCTCACTGAAAAGAGTTTTAACATATAATGACTAATAACATTTTACATGAACTCCAAGAAGTATTTGCTTCTTTATCATTTATAAATAATATTCCTTTGTAAGAAGACATTGAGGAGAGAATAAAAACCCTTGAAATGACAATAAAGAAACTGGGCTATGTCATATTCGGGCACCATGCCACCTGCTGCAAACAGTCTCCAACAACTGCACTTACAGAAATGATTCCAGGTACTGCCAAGAAAAGCAGTATTAGCCACTACAGAAAATAGCAAACAGAAGATGAAGAGCTGCAATAAGCTGTCCATTACAGAAAACTGTGTATCCTTACAGGGCAAAAACACTTTAAAAGAACTAAACAAAGAGCAAAATAAAATTTAAAAAAAAAAAAGCACACAGCAGCCACAAGCAAATAGGTGCGTGTGTCAGCTGAGAGACTCAAGACCATTAACTGCATGTTTCTATATGCATAGCCCCACATTGCAAACCCTCCTGATTCTTATTAGCCTCACAATATGTTATTTTCTTACAGAGACAGCTTCTGGAGAGCCCCTAGGTGGAGAGACTTCCAGTTTCCATTGGAAAGCAGTTTCTACTCCTTTTGGCTGAGGATGAGTTTGAAAAATGCGAGTAATATCCGTCTGAGGCTACAAATCAAAATCAAAATTTATTTTGTCAAATCAATTTGATTACTCAAGACTCATCTCAAAAGTGCCGAGGGAGCCAGCTCATGACTTTTGAATACCTGGGCTTTATTTAGCAGCACCTCCAATTGCTTCCATAATGCTCGTGACAGTGCAGCACCTTAAGTTTCCATAAAAATGGGACTCTACACAGAAAAGCATTCACCTATACAGCAAAATCCTTGTTTAAATTAACTGTGCACTAACATCCACAACTATGCCTCAGCCCCACACAAATTTCCAGGGGTAAAATCATAGAGAATCAGGACTGGCATTAGCCTGCTGGTTCTAAAAAGAATGGTACTGGATTCCTTCTGGATCCTTGACAAACTTATAAATGCTGTCAATTAGTTAGATTCACTCCTGCCCCTTCCTCCAAACTCCAGGCAGTCTAAGTGTCTTTCACTGGGTTTCCATCCATTTGTTCTTGTGCCAGGGTTGTTGGCTACCATACCTATTTTTCTTAACAGAAGTTTTCCACATCTACTCAGCTTCCTCAAGACAGGCTCTCAGTTTCATTGATTATCTGTAAAAATGCTCTCTGCCTGTTCCAATTTTAAGTCATCTTTTTTGTATACGGTGTCCAGAACTATACAGTCTTGATTCCAGACCTGGGTCTTAGCAGCGTCTTATAAAAATAGGAATTTTAATAGAGAAAGCGTTATTATATGACTAGCCAGATGAAACCCAGGATCTACCACACATTTGCCTTTTTGTAATTACACTATATTGGTTGCTCAGTCCCGCATGAGAAACTAATATGCCAAGGCTTTGCTATCATCAGTTGCAAGTGACAGAAAAAATTATCAGCCCCCAATGCACAACTGTGCACTTAGTATTATTACATTACATCCCTTTTCTATTACTCCTCAAGGTCATCCAGTTCTTCCTGTATGTGAGCTCCCTCCTCCTCTGTACCAAGGGTGGCTTCCAACTTTTGCTCACTGGCAGATTTCATTAAAATTCTTTTAATAACCACAAACTTCTTAAGCTTAACCCTTGCTGGGCTACATGGCATCACAGGTTATCTGCTTTGTGAAAGTCCCTTCACAGTTTCCCTTATGCCCTCATTTTCCATTTCCCTCTGGACAGACTGTCAACTTTTATTTATGCATTTTTAAATGATTAACTGTTTTCATGTACTGACTGTTATACCCACAGTGTAGGCATTTTTCCTCCTCAGAGGCATTTTTGCTCTCTCTTGCAAAGCTTCAGGTGGCATTGCTTGTTTTAAATATTTGCACATTAGAAACACAAAATGATTTAAACCGATGTATCAATTACGTTGCTTTAACTTGCACAGAGAATTCACAGACAAAGCACTGCTCTGAAGATGATACAGTCAAGCCAACCAACTGAGTTCAAAAAATGAAAGTAGGCATATTTAGGACATGTCACAATATTCAATAAGAACATTCATTAGGAATCTAAATTGAATCAGAGTGATGTTAAAGCAATTCCAAATGGTTTTTAAAAAAAAAAAAATTACAGGATACTATTCATAAGGGTTTAAAAAAATATGTTCCCAAGTAATTCCTCACCAAGACTTCCCTATTTCCTCAAAGGGATCTTTCCAGATGTCTCCCTGCTTTATTAGTTTCTCTGCTAAAGGAGCAGGTATAGCAACAATTTAGTTGATCAAGCAGAGTCAGACAGTCAGGCTTGGACTGCCAAGTATATTGTACCTTCACAACTGCATCTATTCACCTTTGCTTAGTTTCTCAAGTTAAGCTATAAATCTAGGTGCAGATTCTGAGCAGCAGCACCAGGAGTTTCTGCACTTAACAGCTAGGCTATGCACATTCATTATTAAAGTAATTTACAGCATACTTGGGTTTCTCTAAATGAAAAAAAAAAAAAAAAATAGAAATTCGCAGGAATTCTTTCTTCTTAAAGTCCCTGCTAAATCTGGATACTGAAATAGGAACTTCTCCTTTGCTTGCCTGAAACACAGCCTGTGATCATGGTTCATGAAATGCAATCAACAGCATGAGGTCCCACAAGTTTGTTTCACACAGCATTTGTGTGTGGTTTGACCTCAGGTTCCCAACAAACTCATTATACTCTCCAATGTTCAGGAATTCATATGATTCCTATTAAAACATAGGCAACAATATTTCACGGCCTCAATTGTTTTTCTTTAAAAACAACGTATAGCGTGGCATTAGGAGAATATTTGATAGTCTCAGTAGTTATACCACTCTGGCAACTTCCAAAGTAAGTGTGGGCTGCTTCTATACATCAGGGATTCCAGGCTGAAGACTTCATCTGCTGCTACAGCAGCAGCATACAGTTTCTAAATAGCTGTCCCACTAACCTAGTTACATGCCCAAAAGCAAGCAGAAGTTTGATCCAAATGGTAACGCTGCCCTGCCATCTGGATTAAAGCTATGGGATATACTGAGATTTTGCGATTGAAACACATGCATGAAAATCCACTTGTATACCTGCCAGCTAGGTGCTTGGCATTCATTTTTCTTCTCCCTCTCTGCCTCCAGGAGAACTTCCTTCCCTGGACTCTTATGTAAAAGGTCCATTCTACAGTCACATCCTTCTCTACCACTCTCATTTCTACTTTCCCCTACCTGCCTTCCGTAACACAGTGATTCTTGTACACCCATTCCCTCCATCTCTCTCCAGTACCGAAGAAGCAACATAGCGGGGAACCAGGTGCACTCTAGAAGATGTGTGTTGACTGAAAAGATGCTTACAAACATGAGCCTGGGTGCCTAGGGCTGGTGGATTCCTGTGCAGCTGAGCTAACAAAACAGCTGGTTGCTGGGGCAAGAGTCAGTTCCCAACTATCTGACCTCCTCTCTGCACCATAATGAATGAGTCCAGCAAGCACAAAGGCGGACACCAAAAAGCAGTCGGAGTGAGGATGGGAAGAGAGAAGGAACGTGACCTGCCACCTTGTTTAACCATGAACTATATCCCCTTACTCAGCCTTGTGGAACTGTGCCCTAAGACTACAGGCATGAAATAGCATGGCCCTGCAGGGGAGCAGCAACATCACCTCTCCATTCATCTCTGCGGTGTCCCCCTCCCATGTGCTGACAAAACTCTCTGCATGGCTGTATAATTAATTCACCCACTTCAGCCACTTTCTTTTTCAGACAGATCAGTTTGCCAAGCTGGTTTGCTAAATGTCTGTACTGCGTCCATGCCATTCAAGGAAAAATGGGCACTGCAGTGGCAGGAAGCTCAGTGCAGAGTGGGACTCTTCCCTTAGCAATGCCAGCTATAAATTTTCACATTATTTAGGAGGCAGCTGGCATTTACAATACCTGTTCGGAGCAGCTGCCAAATAAATTCCATAAATGCCAAAGCTTGGTCCTGCAAGAGGACCAATAATCATTTTCCCCGGCAAAAGAATAAACGTAGATTCAAGCAATGACTGCAAGGTGCAATCGTGCAACCAGTCATCTTCACTAGGCAAGAAAAACTCGACCTTACCTTAACGCTCTCTTCCTTTGGAGCAATCGTGAAGCTTTAAATCTGACTGAGTTTTCTTTGTCAAAATCTGTGAAATGGAAAAAACCACACCATAGTGAAGATGCTTTAACAAACAGGGAACTTCCAGGAAACTAGGTTACAGTCTGCAATCATAGTCCTTTTCCACTGGAAACGACTGTAGAGAGGCCTTCCCTCTAGTCAAAGAAGCATAAGATGATGTGTCAAAGTTGGTGATAAACCAAAGCCTTGCAAAAATGAGTACAGACAGTAAACATATCAAAAGCATCAACACTTTATTGAACTGCCGTGTTCTAATCCCAGTGTTCATAATGTAGCACTGCAGCCTGGGGCTATCATTTAAACTCCTTGACTCAGTTTCCCGATTTATAAAATGGGCAGTAGACATGTTTATGAAGCACTCTGCAAATGAGGAGTGCTGCAAGCAGCAAGAGCCTTTTTGGCTGCAGCCTAGCAATACTATAAAAACTGCATATTCACTGCAGAAGTCGAAGATGCCCAGCTCAGGATCTGTTGCAACAACAGCATTACACCATCTGTGACACAAGTATTTCTGAAGATTGGCTAGTGTTTGGAAGCTTCCGGTTCTTTTGGAATAGCATTAGAACATGGTTCCTTTCAGAGAGTAATACCTGTCTACACTGAGAGCAAAACTGTGTCAGATGCAGCCTTATATTCAAAAAGTATGTCTTACAAAGCCACTAGTTCCCAAACCTTTGTGAATCCCCCTAGATCTAACTCTTCATTTCTGCAGTCAAGAGCATCAGAGGGTCTAAACAACGACCAGTTGCAAGGGGCACCAGTGCCTCCATTCAACAATGAGGATGCTATTAAGGGACCTTGGAGAACTGCTAGCCAGGGAGCAGGGGAGCACCTGGTCTGTGTCTGCTGTTGAAAAACAGAAAGCTACTAACAGTTTACTCCCAATGGGAAAATTGCCTTCCGTCCCATCTGTATTAAGTCAACTATCCCAAGACCCTAAATTAATAAACAATTGGTCACCGACGCAGTGTTCATTTTATTTTTCAAAGACAGACCTGAATATTACGCAACCTGGACATTAGAACATTTCAAAAGCATCAACATCCCTTTTACTCTACCACAGAACTGAGATTTAACTATTTCAATGAAGAATTAACTGGCAAAAACATATTTTTTGCTTATACAAAGTATTTTAAAACCTAGGTAGGATGTTTCTTATTTTTGCAGAAAGTGTTTAAAGAAACCTATTATAGCTGACAACATGGGTCTTAATCTAGAGAATGTATCTTTTGTCTATGTCTTGCAAAACTTTTCACCCTCCTCCTCTCTCCCACTTCTTTCTGCCACCTCATCAGGTAAACACATTTAAAAAAAAAATAAAAAAAAAATAAAAAAGACCATTTTAACAGGTTGATAAAGAGGCTTAAAATATGCAAAAAATGCAGTTTTAGGCATCTGCTACAAGTCACTGCAGATTTCAAGCAGCTTTGCTAACAGTGTTCTTCAAGGCAACTTTTTCCTGGTTTTGTTAACATTCATTTTCTCTTTCCGAGTAAATGGAGAACAAAGCACACAGATTATACAGAAACATCTTTTTAGACCAAAGCAGAGTATTATAACAAAAACAGTACGAATGGTATATAAATCATTGTATTTTACACTACAACATTAAAAAGAATACTCCATGACATAATTATCCTCTAAAAAGGCCAGATTTACATTACTGTGAGAAGAGTATGCAGTAACTTAAAAAGCCCAGCTCAGTATCAGCTTAGCTAATCAGAACCAGGTATATCTTAAATTTATAGCTGTTCTAACAGGATGTAACCCATCCCATAGTTTTTGGCACTAAACCAGCTGTCCAGCATGAAAACCACAAGTAGACCACAGAGAAATTCTCCCTACCCTAGCCAAAACTGGAGAGGGGATATGAGAAGGGAAGAAAGTAGCTTTCATTGCTTCGCTGGGAGCAGGGCTGCTCAGAGTGGGCACACAAGCCGGTCTGACTCCTGCTACCCATTAAACACATTCAGTAACATTCATACATACCATATCTCTAATGCCTCAAAAACATCTTAAAACTTTGCTGTGTTTCACAGGGGCAAGCTCCTCTCTTCCCCCACCCCAAAACCACAGCAAACCCAACCAGACAATTATATTCTCTTACACAGTTTTGATATTTTATGTACTTCCTCCTGTTCAAATTAAACCCCATGTGGGAGGATTAAAGTCCAATAAAACTTACTTACTACAATATGGAAGTCTTAAAATTAAATACAAACACAGGAGAAAAAGTAAAATAACTCTGCTTCAAAAGAAAATAAATATGTTCACAAGAGAAACGTCAGTTTAACAGAGCCTTAATTCAATGGTTAATTTAAAGAAAGAAAAACCCACCCTCACAGTACCTAATACACAAAAGGAAAATCTTTGCAACAGCATTTTGTTCCTTCTTTCACTGAAGAATTCTAATCACGTTCATAACCACATAAAAACAAATTTAAATATTTTTATTTAAAATTAAAAGCATATTTACTGAAGTGTAAATCAAACTTGTTCACAAGTTTAACCATTTGTTCATCTAGTCCCCCTCCCTCTCAGGTACAAACTACCGGATAAAACCACTATCCATAGTTTAATTCACAGGAGGTTTAAAATCATGAATTGAATAACAACAATAATAATAATAATAAATAAAAAAAAAAGTAGATGCAACCTTCCAGTATTACTTAGTATATTTAAAGGCCCTAAGTCAGTGGCAAGCTAAGCTAATTAAAAGATCCATCTAATCGGATCTTTCAAAAGTGTCCTTTAGGAAATAATGAAATAGCCTAGGTGACTAACTGCATACTGATTGCTAAAGTAGCTAATGTAGCTGCAGAAGATCCAGTCAAACGATATTTACACATGCATACATATATACGAGAGAGATTAAACACATGCAAACGAACTGCATTTTCTTCACTCTACTTGCAACTCTTACCTTGCTCCTCAGAGTATTTAACATTTCCCAAATAGCTGGAGATCCAAGGATTTCTGAACATGGTTGCACAAACAAAGGATTCAGCAAAGAGAAACTACAATAGCAGCTAATTCTCAACCAGCCACAGCCCTAGGCCTGTCTTAGCAATATCGTGTAGAGATTTTTCATAGCACAGGACTGGAGCTGTCAGGCTATCGCGTCCCAGGGAGTACAGTAAATGCATAGCAATAGGCTGCAAGCTGGAGCAGCTCAAGCCAGTAATCAGATTACAAACAGAAATTAGGCACATGAATGCTAAAACAGATTGGGCAATGGTGATTGGGAGATTTATAATATTACCACTTCAAAGATCCAGCCAAATCACACATTATATTCCTGCAAAACGAAGGCAGAACCCCTAAATCCTCACATTAAAAAAAGAAAAAAGAAAAAAAAAAACAAACACCCTCCAAGAAGAGGAATAATTCCGTCCTATCTCTAATCAGGATAAACTGCAATGCTTTCTTAAGAAAAACAGCATCCAGGCTGCCAAAAAAATGGACTCTGTTAATCACATCATTATGCTAAATGTTTTGCCTAACTATTAGTTGGAACGTTTAAAACAGTCAAGATTTATGGATAACATATGAGCAAAATTACTGGAGGGAGTGGGGATTTAAGAACAGACACGACAGCTCCAAATATTTTAATTTGAGACAGAAGGTGTAAAATTGCACAAAAGTACTGTCTAGCTACCATATTTTTTTATTAAACAGATTTGATGGATTTTGGATTGAAGAGTCTGAACCCTTTATAGTTCCTTTTGAAAAGTCGGAACCCTTTATAGTTCATTTTGAAAGTCTGGAAGTATTTGGTCAAAATGGTGCAATAACCCTGGCTCAGTCTTCCACATTGATCATCTATCACACACCTGATCATCTAACACACACACATACACAAAGGAGCATTAAACATGTGACTGACACAGGTCCATGCACTTAACCCCATCCAACCAACGGCAGTAACTGCCTACTAGCTTTCCTCCAACAGACTTCTTCCCTACTTCAACTAGTATCAGTTGAAAACTCAACACAAGATTGGCAGTCAGGACCATGAAAAGGTGGCCTAGAAACACAAGACTGAAGTTCTTGACTTTTCTTACGTGTTTTTATAACACCTGGTACAAAAGGACATTCATCCGTGCTGGGAACCTCTAGGTACAGGCAAAATACAAGCAATGATGCTGTCAGAGAGACTGCTTAACCACAAGTTAAAAATATAATCTATCAAAAACCTATTAATTTCTGTCGACTCACCATGAAGTTATATTTAGCCTGTCTTGGTCATCAAAACACTGCTTTTCATACTAGTAAGTTCCAGCAATGGATAGAAGCGCTCCATCTTGTCCAATACCCCTACTATTTCTATTCATTTATTTAAACATGAATAATATTGGAGTCACCTTAACGAAGTACCTTTTATTAGCTGATCTTTCAACAATACAGAGCACCCAACACATGGACTATGGCATCGAACCCTCTAACTCACCAGGTAATAGCCTCTGTTCAGAAATACCTGATGGTGCATACCATATTTTTTTCTTTGCTTGTAATCTTACTGGCTTTCACATATAATGCTAACTTCTTCACAGCACTACCCATAGAACACAAACCAAACATTGCTGTGCTCTCTTGACCAGCTGTGAAGACCTACATTTACCCAATCCTAGTGAATACAAAAGCAGTAACAAAAAATGGAATCTGTCAACACTGGTCCAAACTTGCCATTAACATGAAAATCTGCTTTATGGCCCAGACATAAGTGCAGGTGTGCTTAAAACACAAAAACTAGACAATGCAGAAATCACAAAGAAGCTGCTGGTAACAGCTAATGGGGACAGTCTGGACCGGTATCCTTGTGGGTATATCAATAGAGAGGTGCCCAATTCTGAAAAGGTCCCTTTCTTCCAAACCCTGCTTGCGTGACGACTGCTTACTTGATCTTGTGAATAGAGGTATTATTACCTGGGGCATTTTTAAGCACCTGTAACTCATCTGGTACACAGTAAGGGAACTGTTTCTTATAAAGTGCAGATAAATGACACT